CAGCGAAGGTGAGTTTTAAAGAATAGCTGAATTTATTCCAATGAAAACAACAAAAAATGTGATTGACTTGTATTATATGCTTAGAAAGAGACTAGAACTGAAAAAATGCAAGTAAATCATTACAAATGATTGTAGCTACGGCACAAGCATGCAATAGCAAATTAACAGAATGGTAGCAGAAATCATATAAACTCAACTGATGACAGGACTCGACGATCTTAATGATTTTAGTGAGAGTATGTTTTAAAGCGAAAATATCATGTTTAGGCTATAAGATATTTCATTAATCAAGATAATGAAAGAAATTCAACTATAACAAAATATACCTAGGACTGAAGCATAGATTTAAATATAAGAGTCATTAAAATAGGACATTAATCAAATTTATACTCAGTATGATTAAAAGCAATTCAAATGAGCAAGGAAAATAAATTTTGACTTCTCTCTTTTTAATGATGGATTGGATTTAATTTAAAAAGAGTATTCTATAGGAAAATAGCCTTAATATATATGCTAGTAGATTAGTAAGAATAGAAAACAAAAATCTTGGAGGTATAGAATTTCAAAGTTATACTAAGACAATGAACTAAAAAAGCATATTGAAAAAATAGATTAAGATATGGATTAAGATGATTAGATAATAAAAGAGACTGTTTTGTCTCAAGTCCATTTGAGCTATCTCAAACCTCCTCCCTCAGAAATAATCTTCAAAGTATAGAGAAAAAAGACAATTTAAAATCTAAATCCACCTGTAAATTTGACCTAATTTTCAGAACTTAATCAAGACTATGATCCCTATTCCTACAATTCTATGCAAATCCAAACAGTTGAAGATAGAGAAAGTGAGTCTAGACTTAATTTCAACCTATATAATTTGGATGAGACTGACGAATAAGGATCAAGGTGATAAACAACTAGAAATTAGCCGGTAAGCAGTAGTCCTTGTTCTATAAATCAAAGTCAGAACCAGAACTAATCAAGAACCGAAACTCAAAATTCTAATAGCTAAAATTCTTAAATCAAAGAGAGTGCTAATGATGATCCAGAATATGGGGCAAGGAAAAGAAAGCCAATTTAAAGGAAAACTAAAGTAATTAAAAAAAGAAAAAAGAAGGTTAAAAGGGTAATAAGGAGAATTAGTCCAAGACAAAAAAGGAAAACACCAGGTAAGACAAATTAAAAAAATTCACAAGATTCAAATCTATCTGGAAAAAGGAACACAAGATCTTGTAAAAAATAGGTAAAGTTGCTGAAAAAAGATTAAACTGAAAGCGAAAGAGATGAATAGGAGGGGGAAGAGGAAGAAGTAAATGACAAGGATTAAGATTAGGATTAAATTAATAGTTAGGATGAGAATGAACAAAAATCTTTGAGCTAGCAATCACAAGGAAATTAATCTGAAGTCTAAGACAATAATGAAGTTTGTAAGGAATCTAGGTAGATTAAGGAATAAACTAAAAGTTAAAAGTAAATTAAGAATAAAAAGAAGTAAAAATAGGGACGATCAAATTAGACGCCTAAATTCAATCCTTTTTAATCCCTTTGGACAGATGAAGAGAAATAGATCTATATTGAATAACTAAAAATTCATGGTAAAAAATGGAAAATAGTAAAAGATGCATTTAAAAATAAAACTGCAAGGTAGGTGAAGAACTACTGGATCAATTATT